TATGCCGTGACTGGGCATGAGATCCTGTCATTCATGGATGGCTCCTCCGGTTACAATCAAATCCGCATGGCGCCGGAAGATGAAGACTTAACTGCATTCCGAACGCCGAAAGGCATCTACTGTTATAAAGTAATGCCCTTTGGTTTGAAAAATCCAGGTGCTACATACCAACGGGCTATGCAGACAATATTTGATGATATGCTGCACAAAATGGTTGAATGCTATGTAGACGACCTGGTTGTGAAGTCGAAATTACGCACAAATCACTTGGTGCATTTAAGGCAAGTCTTCGACCGCCTACGGAAGTTTCAACTCAAAATGAACCCCTTGAAATGTGCTTTCGGGGTTGCTACTGGAAAGTTCCTCGGGTTTACTGTTCGACACAGGGGCATTGAGATAGAGCAAGCCAAAATTGACGCCATAATGAAGATGCCTGAGCCGAGAAACCTTCATGAGCTTAAAAGCTTACAAGGGAAGTTGGCTTACATCCGAAGGTTCATATCAAACCTAGTGGGAAGATGTCAACCTTTTAGTCGATTGATGATAAAGGGCATCCCATTCATATGGGCTGAGGCATGCAAGAACGCATTTGAGAGTATCAAGTCATACTTGATGAAGCCGCCCGTGTTAACTGCTCCTGTTCACGGTCGCCCGCTGATCCTTTATATCTCCGCCCAGGATTGTTCTGTGGGCACCTTGCTTGCTCAGGAAAACGACAAGGGGAAGGAGAATGCTCTCTACTATCTTAGTAGAATGATAACCCCAAATGAGTTAAAGTACTCCCCAATTGAAAAGATATGTTTGGCACTTGTGTTCGCCATCAGAAAACTTAAGCACTACTTTAAGGCGCATACCATCCGGCTTGTTTCCAAAGCGAACCTGGTGAAATATGTTATGGCGAAGGTCGTGCTCTCCGACCGCCTTGCAAGGTGGTACTTATTGTTTCAACAATTTGAAATCATCTATGTGCCGCAGAAATCTGTCAAGGGGCAAGCCTTGGCCGATTTCCTAGCAGACCACCCAATACCTGTTGAATGGGAATTGTTTGACGATTTGCCTGATGAAGATGTGCTTGTCATTGAAGTCCTACCCCATGGAAGATGTACTTCGATGGAGCTTCGCATAGAGAAGGGGCAGGTGCTGGAGTTGTCTTCGTCACTCCAAAAGGCGAGGTGTTGCCATATTCATTCACCTTGACCGAGAGATGTTCAAACAATGTAGCTGAGTACCAAGCATTGATACTTGGGCTTGAGATAGCGGCTGACATGAAACAACTGAGGATTAACATTTATGGAGATTCAAAGTTGATCATAAACCAAGTGTAGGGTCTATATGAAGTGAAAAAGGCGGAGTTAGTCCCATATAACAACTATGCAAAGATACTCATGCAATGGTTAGGGGACGTCATAATTGAACATGTACCGAGGAAAGAAAACAAACAGGCTGACGCCTTAGCTGCATTGGCTTCAACTATTACTCATCCTGCAGCCCGAGTGCAGGTATGTCAAAAGTGGGTAGTTCCACCAATCTTCAGTGAAGACGGCTTAGTTGATGAAACTGTTGAACTCCCTACTGCCTCAGTGTATGATATTGGCAAAGACGACTGGAGGCAATCGCTAATTGACTACCTCGCTGATGGAAAGTTACCCGAAGATCCTCGTAAGAGGGTGGATATAAAGCGTCGAGCTCCTCGCTTCATCTACTATAAAGAGACGTTGTATCGTCGTTCATTCGAGGGAGTCTTTCTCCGATGTCTAGGGGAAGAGGAAGCTTTACAAGCTATGCAAGAAGCTCATTCTGGGGTTTGCGGTGCACATCAATCCGGTCCCAAGTTACACTCCACATTAAGTGAATGGGCTATTATTGGCCTACAATGGTAAAGGATTGCATAGACTATGCTCGAAGATGTCAAGCTTGTCAATATCATGCAAACTTTATCCATCAACCACCAGAACCTCTACACCCAACAGTTGCATCTTGGCCATTCGATGCTTGGGGACTTGATGTGGTTGGCCCAATTACGCCTAAGTCATCTGCAGGGCACGCATACATACTAGCTGCCACCGACTACTTTTCAAAGTGGGCGGAAGCTGTGGCATTGAAGGAGGTGAAGAAAGAAAATGTTGCACACTTTCTCCGTGTCCACATCGTCTATCGATTTGCTATCCCGCGATATATCTTAACAGATAACGGGAAGCCCTTTGACAACAAGTTGATGGACAAGATCTGCAAGCTTTTTGACTTTAAGCAGCGAAACTCATCAGCTTACTATGCAGCTGCAAATGGGCTTGCCGAAGCATTTAATAAGACCCTATGCAATTTGTTGAAGAAAGTGGTCTCAAAATAAAAAAGAGACTGGCATGACAGAATGGAAGAAGCTTTGTGGGCGTATAAAACCACATACCGCACACCTACTCAAAGCACTCCATACTCTTTGGTGTATGGTGTAGAAGCGGTCTTGCCTCTAGAGCGCCAAATACCTTCCTTAAGGTTGGCCATACAGGAGGGTCTTACCGATGAAGAAAATACTAAACTACGCTTGGCTGAGTTAGAAGCCTTGGATGAAAAACGTCTGCAAGCGCAACAAAGCTTGGAGTGCTATCAAGCTCGTATGTCTAGAGCTTTTAACAAAAGGGTAAGGACCCGTTCCTTTCAAATTGGGGACAAAGTCCTAGCTGTTCGCAGGCCCATCATTGTCACGAGAAAAACTGGCCACAAGTTCACTTCAAGGTGGGATGGTCCATATGTGATTTTAGAAGTTTACACTGGTGGAGCTTACAAGCTGATTAGTGAAGATGGTTTGAAGATCGGTCCAATTAATGGAAGGTTCCTAAAGCTTTACCACCCTTAAACTTGGGGTGCCAACACAAGTCATGAAGATCTGATGAATGACTCATCCACCAAAAATGCAGCACGTGGTTAAACTGCTAATGCATCTCGCTTTGCCTATGGGTGGGCCCAAATCATGGACGCTCCTGGCCCGCATGAGTCTAAACTGTGAATGGCTCTACTTTACCAAAAAAAAAAAAAACAATCATTTGAACTACGTTTGACTTGATCTCCTTGATATGAGTACGTAGGCAGCTTAGAATCAAATTATCTAAGTTCAGTCATAACAAAACAAATCCAAATTCAGGTTGCAAAATTGGTTTATCAAGACAGTCGTTCAATGTGTCAAGGCAAGGATGTACAAGCTATTGCTAAAAGACGAGCACGCAAATGAAAAACATCAATCATCACAAAAAGTCTTGATACCAAAAACAAAAACTTAGGAAAAAGAGCATCACTCCACAAAAGACCTAAAGTTAAGCATGTCATCTTTACATGCCCCCAAGCTTCTCTTGGCCTCATTCAAGCTCTCCTCATCTTCTGGAGTCAACAGAGTCAACCCCTTGAATGGGAGAGACTTCTACCTTGGCATTTGAGACTGAATTTTCAGTAGCCTCAGAAGCGATAGAAGTGTCATAATCACAGCCATAGGGGCAAACCCTTCATGAAATTTTAAAGGGAAGAAGCTACCGAATACTCCCTGGCACGAGTCGGAACTGCCTCATACCTTTTCAAGATACTCCCTGGCACGAGTCGAAACTGCCTCATATCTTTCAAGACTCCTTTAATGCATATTATATATATGTATACACAAGCAAACATCAATTGTGCATGTGTATATATTATATATATTATATACGTATATATATACACACCAAATCAATCACATGAATTATGTGTTATATATATACCTACGCATTGTATGCAAATGGTGGTGCAAAATAAAAGCACCAAATATATATCCATCTGGACCACGCATGTATTATATATATTATGCACAAAGTATGCATGTGTATATTATATATAATATAAGTTAAACATGTGGATTATGCATAGTGGGCCGTGTTTATATATTATATGTATACACATATGTAATTTGCACAAACAAAGCAAATTAGTGCAGTACGTATATATTACGTAGTATTATATACGTATATACACATTAATACACCCATATGTGATACAACAGTGAAGGAAAAACAAAGGATAATGGATGAAGCTGTGGTAGTCACGTGTATATACTATACACACGCAAGGAAAAGAAACAGCATATTAAGTAAAAAACTCCAACATTCGTGCATCAAAAAAAAAAAAAATTCGAAGCAGCAGAAAACAAATTAAAGCAAAAGGAAAGCTCCTACCTCTATAGCGGTCGCGCAGCGAAGCTTCAATGAACAATTCTTCTCCGTCGATGAACCGACGGCAACTCGCCGGAGCACGAAAACTATCCAATAGCTTTCCTCTCCAAATGGTGTCATTGTCGACAGCCATGCCTCCAATGGTGCCATTGTCGACAGCCATGCCTCCAAATGGTGTCATTGTCGAAAGCCATGCCTCCAAATGGTGTCATTATCGATAGCCATGTCTCCAAATGGTGTCATTGTCGACAGCCATGTCTCCAAATGGTGTCATTGTCGACAACCATGCCTCCAAATGGCGTCATTGTCGATAGCCATTAGCATCCCCGTCGATGACAGCAACGTGCCGGAGCACGCGCTTGGTGACATTTAACCTTGTGACAACGAAAAAGGCGTGCCGGAGCAACGTCTTGAGGCGACATCCTAGCAGTGGCCGATAGTGAGAATTTGACAATGGTGAAAAACAGGCCGAGAAAATTAATCCTCAAAGTGTTTCCTGTCCAATGTCTCTCACGTGTCTCTTCTTGTTCTTCCCCAATCAAAGTGGGTGGCGGCGAGTCCAAGCAGTTCCTAGTCCAGTGTTCATGAAAATAGCAAAATTCCAAGTAGTTTCTGATCCAGTGTTCGTGAAAACGGCAAGAGGTACGTCCAAGCAGTGGCGTGAAAGCCGGAAAGGAAATCGATTCCCAGGGAGTCCCATCCAATGCTATCAATTCTCTTTGCTTGGTTTCTCCAATTCCCATTGTAGATGAAAGCTGCAAAAGTTAAAAACACACACATACATATGGGGCAGAAATTAAAGTTGAGAATTACCTGAAGGAAGTTGGTCTGTTCTCGAATGGTTGGGGATGCAAAGCAGTGAATATGAGCTATTATTTATAGCTGCAAAATGAGGAATTTGAATGCATCTAACTCCAATTTTGTTATTTAGTCCATATCAAGTGCTGGTTTGTGGTTAATTATGTGGCTGGAACCTTACGTTGATAGAATTGTGAATGCAGATAAGGGCTGATTGTATGGTGGAACTATACTCGAGGTCCACGTACGTCCGTCAAAGAAGTCCTACTGGAGTACTGGATATAGTATAAATAAAATTGGGATTTGGCCAAAATTATAATTTATAAAGGAAAAAGATGAGATAAAAAGTTTACGCAATTATGAATACTCCATTTCTAGAAATTCTGGGCGTGGCTTAGAATTCAATTGTCTTTGGATTAATCAACTTATTTGGGGTATAAAAAAAGTATAATATAAAATACTATAATGGAGTGTTATGGACTTTGGACATTGGGCCGTTGCTAAATTATAAGTCCTTTCAGTCGAAATGAAATGGGCCGTTGATTGTGGGCGCCATTGGCATATTGGATACGGTTCATGTTGGGTCATTATCAAACTGGGTATTCTACAATCAAGATATAATTTATTGGGTATTTGCAAATATGGACTCTTGGACTACTACGGTTAATTTCGAGACTACCTTTCCGTTGCATATAAGGCACGTCAAGCAAGTCTCGAAGGGGCAATTTGTAAGCATTGAAAAATTTAAATAATATTGTTGGACCGTGGTGAATAATTGATTGTTAAATTAATTACTTTAATTAGGCTAATTGGACTAATATTTATTTAATTGGGTTAATTAAATGGCCCATTGAATAATTAATTAGTTTAATTACTTAATTAAATGTAATTAGATGTTGGATTGTTCGGCCCGAGATGATGGAATATTTAATCGAATTGGACCAGGTTGCTTGGATGAATTGGGTTGCCTAATTAGCGGGCCTGACTTGGTCTTGGCCCACTAAAATTATATGTGGATTATATAATTTTGGGAAATTTGAATATTTGATATTATTTGGAAATTTAATGAAATCATGAACCTGGACGCAATGGTGTCCCGATACATTCCTTAATTTAATTAAAATAATTAAATTAAATAAGGAATTAAGAGTTGGTTGGAGATTTTCCCTCACTCTCACCACTATAAATAGTGGTTTCATTTTCAAAGAAGGGGCTCTTGAAATCTGCATACCGAAGCTCTGCCGAAATCTCGCCAGGATATCGTCTGGAACACGCCCGCAGTTATATATACTGAGTATATTGCGCTGAGGAATACGCCATTTGAACACCGGAAACCCTTCTTTGAAGATCAAGCTGCATATTAGCCCTTCATCGAAGAACAAGCTACATAACTCCGGAGGCCCTTCAGCAAGGAACTACTCCCAGTTCGGCATACTCCCGAACTCGGCATACTCCCAGCTCGGCATACTCCCGAACTCGGCATACTCCTAGTTCAGCATACTCCCGAACTCGGCATACTTCCGAACTCGGCATACTTCCAGTTCAACATACTTTGGACTTGGCTTACTTCCAGTTCGGCACACTCCCGAACCTGGCATACTTCCAGTTCAGCATACTCTGGACTCGGCACACTTCCAACAAGGAACTACTTCAAGTTCAGCATACTCTGAACTCGGCACACTTCCAATTCGGCATATTCCGAATTCGGCACACTTCTAACAGGCATACTTCTAGTAGAGAATCAGAGGACTTCTCATATACAGAGATTGTACCCCTTCTTGATTGATACATACTACTTGTAACCGATACTTTGAATTTTGAATATATACAATTCAAGTTTTTCGCGTTTACAGAGTCCGGGGCAGTGAGCGGCATCGGTGAACCAGCGATGCAGTGAGGCGAGATGGCGAAGGTGGGTACGGATTTCTGGTGAAAGGCGATTTCTCGCTCTCCTCATTCAGGCAGAACTGGCTATCGGCGGTGGTGGCGCCACGATGAAGACGACGGTGGTGGCCTGCTGTTGCTTCTCATGCGATGAAGACGACGGCTGCCTGCTTCTCCGTCAGCAGTGGCACTGGTTTTCCGGCGACGTTGGCAGAAGACGGACGGCTGGATGGATGGCTCCGATTGTTGGCTACATTTTGTGTTATGTCGGTGGTCGTTGTATTTTTTTCCCTTGATGCTGCCATCTCCACATTGTTCTACCGGTGGCAATGAAGGATGCGTTACTTTGGGAAGATGAAACATTGAAGGATTTGAAGCAGACAATCTTTCAATTTGAATAGGATGCGTTACTTTGAGAAGATGAAGCAGACAGTCTTTCAATTTGAATAGGTAACTTCATATTATTTTAAGGCAAGTAATTATTATTGCTTTGGTAATTTTGGCAATCTAAGTATATCAATATATGATTGATAAACAGTACTCTTAGGATTACCCTTTAATTATTTGTAATAATGGTAATAATGACTGATTGTTGCTATTTCTAAGTGATTGCCATTGTTTTATTGATTAATTTTGATAATAACGGTAATGAAGTTCCCTTCTAAATCACTTGTAAATTATGCATTTATATTGGCTTATTTTTGGTCATTGCTTTTCCATTTGGTGATTATTATGGCTATTCATTGTAATTTTAGAATTTTGTAATTTTGCCATATATAGTTTGATAATATTCTTAATTATGGAGTGTGATTTTGAATCACAATTTTGGACAATGCATATGTTTATGGTATTTGGATATTATTTTCCATTCCAGTCTTGCCATAATAATTTAGATTATGATGTTAAGAATAATATTTTGAAATTCATTTGAATTTGCTTGTCCAAAACTTTAATGGTAATAATGATGATATCATGTAACATTTAATAATAATGATGATTATCATTATTATAATTAAATGTTGTTCGGTTACAATTAAGAAAATTGATTATCCCGTTATTACTGTTATGTAATAATTATTAGAATTATTATAGTAATAACGATTATTGATTTTTGAACTGATGGATCAGTGTTTTGTGCCGTTACTATCATCGTTTGTTTTGGATTTTGATAGTATGATTTGAAATAACAATTTTCAAACCGTTTCATTCTTGATCCAAACCATATATGTTAATAGTGATAATATTTTGTAACATTTTATAGTTATTGCTATTAAATGTCAGGGGTTACAATTGAGGAAATTGATTGTTCTGTTATTACTCTCATGTAATTATTATTACAGTAATAATGATTATCGGTTTTGAACTGAAGAATCAATATGTCGTAACATTGTTATCATTATTGATTTTGGATTGTGATGCCCACTTTGATTGAGTATGAATATTTTATTTTATATTCATATTTTTGAGTTTGTTTTATGCATATAATTAAATTAAATGCATAATATTATGGTTTAAATTGTGCAATTTAGTTTTGTGAGAATTTAATTTGTAAATGTCAACATATCATATGATTTTGATATGGTTAGAATTTACAATTTTAAGCTACTTCTCATAAAGTTTACTATATGCATTGGATCATTTAGTATTGGGCCTACAAGTTAAAACTTTTCAATAATTGAAAAGTATATAGTTATTTTAAATTATTATTCAAATTTTATAATCATTTAAGTTTTGGATTTAAGTTGTTTTTTGAATAATAATTTTATAGCTCATTTTAAATTATCATTATAATGTACAACTAGTAATTCACCCGCGCGATGCACGGGAAAAAATTATGTTATTATAAATATAAATAAAAAATAGAAAAATTAAAATATTTTAAATTGTTTAATATAATAATATTTTTGAGCTTCCATTGATCAAGTATTTATTATTTTTATAGAATACAAAATTAAAATTAAAATTAAAATTAAAATTTTGTATGGTTAATATAATCTCTAATTATGTGCATATTCAAATAAACTTATAGAGAGAATTTACATAATTACATTGATTTATTCTTAATTGTATTCCATCTATATTATAATTTTCACAATACGAATAATAACTAAGATAATTACATTTGGAAAGCAAATTTCAAATTTTGTATGAGTAAATTTAAACTTTAATTGAACACATTTTTTATATGATTATATAATATATAGCTATTTTATTTTTCAAAAGTACATTTTTTATATGATTGTATAATATATAGCTATTTTATTTTTCAAATGTTGTGTTTTTTTTTTTAATAATAAAAGATGTTGTGGCATTAATTGTAACATTAATTACTTCCCAAACCATATAGTTTTATTATAGTTAAGATTTATTTGGATATGAGCTTATTAATTGAATTTCATACATAACTGTTCACTAGCATAACATTATATTTTTTAGTTATGTGAATTTAATTATGCATTTGAAATTGCATAAGATAGGAATTATAATAATTTCTTGTTAAGGTGAACTTTGTGTGTAGAATAATAAACGGTAGTGCATTATGTTTAAGCACCTTTAGACCGTTTAGAATGTTCACTTGAGATTAAAAGTCTTTCCATATGTGAACTATTAAAGATTTGGAAAGATTGTCTGTCAATTATGCTTTTAGTGTGGGAAAACATGAACCGGTGAAAAGTTTCTCGGGAAGGGGCCAATGTGCTACTAGTTCCTTGAAACATTACTCTGTCTAAGGAGTTGGTTATTTTTAATGAGACTCTGTCCCAACCAACTTTCCTGGGAGTATACTTGGAATTGTTTATCATATTGCGGCATAATTGTTTTTAGGCTTTAAAGTTGATGCCTAAGATATTAAGAAAATCGTCTAGTGATCTTATAATTTTGATTAATTAAGTAGTAGCCACGGTATCTTTGATTAATTGAAATTTTGTGAGATCACATACAGTCATAGACGTATTGATTGTGATTAATTATATGATATAATAAAATTTAGCCCACAGGCAATTTTGTTATGTTTATATAATTAATTAGAGTAAAAACACCAAACTATGATCGTAATTTAGCCCACAAGCAATTATGTATCGGAATATAGTTTTGGTGAGTTTTATCATTACAGATAGGAAAATCAATTTATTTAACATATGGTTATAATATAAATAAATTGACGTCTTCTATCATAAAGTTATGATATATGTACATATTCAAAGAGTATTTTTATGTGTACATTTTGTGGTATTAGTCTAATTTCTTTTATGTATATTTATT